GGTGGAGGATTTGGAGAACCAGTTGCAGGCGATACAAGAGGAGTTACAAATAAAATCAATGATCCTGGAGAAACGTGAATCAGAGTTGATAGGAATGCAGAAGATTTACAACGAGCTGCAAGCAGAGTTCAAGGAAACAGTCGAGACATTGACGAGGGATAAATGTTTCTATCAGAATCAATACGAGTTGTCCCAAGTGTCGGAGAACAAAATAAAGGAAGACCTGCAAGAGGTGGAGAATGTTTTGAAATTAAGAACTGATGAGATACAGGAGCAGAAGAACAAGATGCAAGTGAATGAGAAAATCATCATGGAATTGAACCAGGAAAATACCAAACTGAAGAAAGATGTAGAGGAGAAGGAGCAAGAGCATGCAAGGAAGTACAACATTCTGTGGCAGGAGAAGATGGAAGAACTGCAGAATTTCAGAGCCGCCATCCTCGAGAAAGACATCACCATCGAAACAATCCAAACGCGGAATATAGAGATCGAGAACGAGAATAAACAGTTGTACGAATTTAAGACCAAGTACCAATCGACGAAGCAAGAGATGTTGGAATGCCAGAACGAGATTCAGAGGCTGACCGAGGGTCTGAACAACAGAGACCAGATAATCAGGAGATTGGAGGAGATGGCCAGACGTACCAGCTACTCGGGAACCTCTTCTCCGTCCAACGAGAAGGACCAGGAGATCCATCACTTGCAGGAATATTTGAAGGAAAAGGACAAGGTCATACGTCAGATGAGCGACGACAGTAAGAGCTTGCACAAAGCCCTGGAGACGATACAGAACAAAATGAAAGAATCTGGAAACGTGATTGAACTTAGGAAGAAATTGAAAGATGAACGAAAACTGAACTCTGAATTGAGGAACATGGTGGAGAAATTAAGTAAGGAGTTGTTTGATTTAAAATCGTCTGCCCAACGTTCGCAGGACGATACCGACATAGAGGACATGGTCCAAAGGGAGCTGAACTTATCAGCGCATTTGGATAGGCAAATAATGAATGCTATTGAGAGTGATCCAGAAGAGAAGGCGCGCAGAGTGGAGAATCAAGTCCAGTATCAAGAATATCAAGAGGGAAGACTGATGGACCTGAAATTGAAATTAAGTCAAGTGAACAAGATCAATGAAGAATTAAAGAAATTGAAGGATGATTTAGAGATTGAAAGAGGTATGTTGAAGTGCCAGATTGCAGAATACGAGGGTCGGATTTTCCAACTTAAATCAGACCTAACAGAGGAATCAAAGAAATTGGAGAAACTCGAGGAGGAACTCTCCTCTGAAAGGAATCTTGTTAGGACTTTGAAGATTCAGATTGAAAAGGAGCATAGGGCGATGCAGTCTGGACATATCCAGGACTCAGAACTGATTGAATTCCTTCAGAACAAGTTGAAGACGTCTCTGGACAATGAGGCTAAGCTACGCAATGATCTTTCAACATTACGTCAGGAGCACAAGAGCTTGGAGATACAGTTGAGTTTGATGAAGGACCATGTGGAATCTCAGAAGACAGATGAATTACCAAAACTTGCTGATTTGTTGGAAGGTGAAAGGAGAAAATACTTGTCACTGATGGAAAATTTTGAAAAGGAAGAACGAGACAATGCTGAATTGAAAGATACTCTGAAGAAGCTACAGATGGAGAAGAGTCGATTTGAGAAGCAATTGGAGGTGGAGGTGGAGGAGAAAGAGAAACTGATAAGCGGTCTGGCTCTGATCGAAGGGATCAAGGATCATCTGCAAACTGATTTGAGGCGTACCAAAGAGGAACTGAGGGCACGAGAGGAGGAGTGTGATTGGCTGCAGAAAAGGATCAAGACTATGTTGGACGCAGAGAGTAGAAGACAGGAACAAAGAACCAGCGAACATAATGAACTTAAGGCATTGAGAAGAGAGATTAGCAACACCAGAGAAGTGATGATGGATTTAGAGGCTGATATGAAACAGTCGAAGAGAGAGTTAACAGAGTCCCTTGAACGTGAAATGAAACTGGCTGAAGCTTTGGAGAAATTGAAAGAAAGAGAGACTGATCTTCTGAAAAAATTGTCAGCTGGTAAAGAAGAGGAGAGGAAGTTGAAGGATACTATTCTTGAATTGCAACATGATTTCAGAACCTCTACTAGGACAGAGTCAGAATCCACTACAGAATTTAAGAGTAGATATACGAATGAAAAGAGTGTCCCTGTCAAGTATATACAAAAAATTAAGGTACTTTATAATGAAATTTTCAGTTACTTAAAAAATACGTTTGTTATAATCAATATTCTGTTCAACAGGAACTCAGTGAAATTAATGAAAAATACATGAACGAGATTGGGATGATTCATGAGAAGCTAATAGAAACACGAGAAGAAAAGGAACAACTTAATAGAAAAGTGAGGTTACTTGAAGCTCAAGTGAAGCGAATCAAAGATTCTGATAATGGAAACCTTATGGGTCCAAATTACACGGAAAAGGTAATTTCTATCTCTATATCATTTAATAGTAATCAAAAATCGAAAGGAATAATTCAAAAATTTCTTTATTAAGTAAGGAAAAAATTTTTTCCTTATTTACGATAACAGTCCTGCCGATTAAACATTAGACCAATCAGATAGCTGCGTTTATCTAACTCCGCCAATCACAGGGCTTGTTACTTCAGCCCTAGGTACAGTTCGTCTAGTGTATTTTGTAATTTCAAATAAATGATTGAAATTCTAAATTATTGAACATTCTAAAGCTTTTATCAGATGATTATGTTAATTATTTTAACGCTTTTATTAAATAATTAGGTTTATGAATATTCCTGGACTCCAAAGTCAGTGCTTTTTCACTAGATGAACTATGATATTATAAATGGGCCAGATGCACCTGATAAAGCCACTTTATCATTCGTTTTACAAATTTTTGCTTTAGAATCGCGTCCCCAATAAAAACATTATTGATTAATTTTACATAATAATAATTGCGTTCCACAGTTGCAACACTTCTATGGAAAATACCTGCGAGCGGACAGCAGACGCAAGGCTTTAACGTATCAAAAACGTTACTTATTGACCATAATCAGCGGTTACCAATTGTCAGAGGAGAACACGTTAAGCGTTCTTGCTCAATTGACCAAGGAACAACGAACTTACACTACCATGGGTCACAGTAGAAAATCGCCCAAAATACGCTTCAAGAGCGCCGTGCTAGTCCTCATTAGCATACACAGAATGAAGTGGTTGATTTTAAGATGGAGCAGTGGGAAACGGATAGGAGTGAAGACATTGCTGTGGAATGCTGACCAGGCGTTTGCACAGGTGCCAAAAGTTGCTATGAATCATTCACCTCCTGTTAGAGAAAGGCGTACTACAAAGTAAGTAGATTAATTAACAATGCACCTTTATAAATTTATGTATTTTAACAATGAATTTTTGATTTTCAGTGGTGAGGGTGGTTTCGATGGACTTGCGCTTGAACAGTATTATCAACGACTGAAGAATATTCAACAGACATTAGGTTTAGCGATGGCAGAGTCTGGAAGTCGTCCGATTATTCCCGAATAGTATTACAAACGTCTAAGTCTTGTAAGTGTTAAGGCATGATTCGTACTCTGTTACTGTGATGGCAATGTCACGTTGTTTTTTAATATGCAACCACTAGCTCATGGTTTGCATTGGGATTGCTGTTTCCATTTGGCTTGATGCAAATGGAAACGATTGAAAACTGGGCATTCTGACGAGAAACGTTGTTGATAATTGAATACTGTATTTTTCTTTACCGATTGTAAATAGAACTGTAGCATAGAAACTACCAGTTGTTAAAGACGCGTTAAGTCCTTGCATCGTTTACCGCAACACCGTGTGCTATTGACTTTACTACTACCGTAAATAAGTTGGTTTCTAGGAACGTGGTAGTGTTAAATGTACGTGCTAATATTATCATGTTTTACCAAAGTTATTATAAAGTACATGTAAGGATACTATTAATTAAGGATACAAATCTTGTGCCTTCTACATTATAATAAGTGTTTAGTATTTATTTATTGATGATCTGTACGTTTTTATATTGTGAATAAAACATCCTGAATGAATTTCTATAAAATCAATGAGTTAATAGGACTTGAAAGGCAGTGATTTTTTACACATTTATATATTACTGATATATTTTTATATATATATATATATTTTAACAAAATGTATCTATAATGTTGCCTCTTTATATTCTTTAATAAATACAGTCGCGTTTTGTACGGTTTGTAATACTATCTGAAACGTGCAAATTGTTTTTAATAGATACATATACATGTTTTAACAGCACTTAAATATGATACGAGGATTCTGGTCCATTGTAATAAAATCAGAACTAATTTTACAACTGCAAAGAAGGTTTTTCATCATGATAGTGTTACATAAACGAACAAGAAGTAACACTAATTAACAGTTGCGAATATAGGAAATTACATAGAGTTCTATACGTTTCTTCAACAGTATCTAATCACAATGTGTTGTTGCACTGGTGTCCGAAGAGACCAAATGCAACTTCTCATAGATGTTATTTACATATGTACAGTGAGATATGTGATAAAATATATAGCGATTATTTAGTTTTATACAGGGTGTCCCAGAACTCGCGTAACCCGTAAATGGGGGTTGCTGGGGTGATTCTGAACAACTTTTTCCTTTATCAAAATGTTGATTGAAGCTTCGTTTTTGAATTATTAACGAAAAACACTAGCCAATGAGAGCGCGCATAGCGCGCGGGCTCAGGAGTCGAGGCTGCCGTCCCTGAGCCCGCGCGCTCGAATTAGCCAGTGTTTTTCGTTAATAATTCAAAAACGAAGCTTCAACCAACATTTTGATAAAGGAAAAAGTTGTTCAGAATCACCCCAGCAACCCCTAATTTCCGGGTATACAGGAGTTATGAGACATCCTGTATATCTTCGATATATCTAAAGCTACATCCGAGTTTGTTCAATGTAATCTAAGAATGTAAGGCTTTCTTTTTTGTTATAAAGACATACTTTGAACAGTGCAAATCTTACATGTTTCAACTTTTGTTTTTTTTTGTAGCAAAGTTACAGGAGTTTGTAATACTTTCTTTGTAAAATATCATAATATTACTAGAGGTTCGAATTTGCACCCCGTGTCGATTTAAAATTTGAAAATCTTTGGAGAATATTTTCCATTTATGATTGTTCTTCACAGAGAAGTAAAATGGAGAAAATTCAAATTACCCGCGTTTATGATTGGTGCACGCATCCTTGAAGTTAGTTGCATTGAACGGTCCGAAGTAATCGTCGTGAAGTTGCCTGATAATCGTTTCGATCGGGCATAATTTTGAATCTCTGCGCGTTTTCTCGGCATCGTTGCGTTCGAAATAACTGACAGTGTAAAAATTTGCGTTTCGGCAAAAAGGTATCTTTTGGGTGAAATCCTTCCCGTTTATGATAACGCGGAAATAAAAGTCACTAGCTACGTGGTTCTCGTTCTTCGGATTAATTCGATAAACCTCGATCACGAAGCGGGAAGCGTAATGTGGCATGGTCAACTTGTCGGAGAAGATTCCAAGAGCGGTCGCAAGGTATTCCAAAGTCTTGTCATGACCAGAGTACAAAACGATCTTAGGTTTCGCCTCCGATATAATGCGTAGCATGTAAGAAACGATACTTCTAAGAAGTCCGTACGCCCTTAACAATCCGTATTTCCTGCGATTGCTGCTCTTTGCAATTTGCTTAGACTCCCATTCCGTATACGCGAACAGGCCTGTAACGTGTTCCGTTTTCACGCAAACGCGTTGCGTTTCAAAGTCCATGCATGGTAGAGAAGCACCATGACAGATGTACGTTAACAATGCATCTTTTAAGGTATGGGGATCTGTCATCTGTGCCTGATCAGGGATTTCGAAGACTGCACTGGAAGCCTGCCTTATCAGGTCTGCCACTGCTGGATGAGATTTCAAGTGGTCCGACATTTCCTGTAAAAGTATGCGTGGCATTGGAGAGAATTAGAAATTGAGTTGCCGAAAAGACAAGGGAATAATTACCTTCAAATGTTGCTTGAAAAATTTCTCAGCAACAGGACACGCGCAGTCCGTGTTACAAAACGCGTAACTCTGGCTTTCTTGCATAGTAACTTTAGCTAGGTTTTGAAAGCCATCGGTCTCTAATAGGGCATACAGTAATGCAACTGCGCTCTGAACAGTTCTTCTATATCTAGTGCTATACACAACGATGTCTTTGCTGGATATGGTGCCGTTTCCAAGATTAAGCTTATGGTAGTACGCATTTTTAAGTATGATTCCTGTTTTTAAGAGTTGCCCGATACCAAGTGTCGTTAACTGACCAATTCTACAGTCTTTAGAGTTGGCTGGCAGCATAGGAAAACCATGGAACGGTCCCAGGAATTGTGCCCATGCTGTTCTGGAATAACTGGAGACGTTTTGTAGAAAATTTACATAATTCTGGTACAAGTTCTCTAACTCAGGTATACCATTCAACTCTCCGCCACAATTAACTATGCTTATGTTACGTATGTGAGCTAATGGCCCTCTATCTCCGTGTCGAATGAATACTAAAATACCTCCTAACGTCAGATTCCCATCCAATTTTCCTGAATACAAGAAAACATCATTATTGTATAACTCTACAGACATATATTTATTAGAAATATCATGCTTGTAATACCTTCAGTTTCTGCTGCAATATCATTGGGAGGATTACAAAACCGAAATATCTTTTTCGTTTTTATATCAGCTTTCAAGTTTCTAGGAAATTCCCTGATAGATATATCATTTCCCAGAACTCTTGTTTGTACTGAACTTTTTTCATCTATGCCAATGTATTTGTACATACCTAGGAGTTAAAAAAAATCATTTTACTATATATTTGTTTAATTTTCAGGTAACAGAAGTGCAGGATAAAAATGATCTGTGCATGAGTGTGTATATTAAAGGGTTTAAATACATAGCTTACAGGTATGCAACGAAGCCAATAATGCGCAAGCTAATCAAACTGTTTACAATTAAGAAATATCATAGCATATCTCATTACAAGAGCTTAATTATTTAGTACAATATTATTGCACTATTGAATAGCTGAAGTACAAAATCAAGAAATAATGAGTGCTTACAGTTGCAATAAGAAATCATAAATAAATAATGCTAAATTAAACATAAATGGTTGCAGGAGAAAGGGTGAAATAATGTAAAAGGACGAAGACAAAAGTCGCAACATCAGTGTCCGGATTACCAGCAACGAGGAGGAAGATCCATACGCTTAGAATCACGTAGCAGTAAAACGCTCGATGCTGGTAGGACAGCCGAACCATTTCCGCCAACATTCTCTGGCCGATCCTGGACCGTGCCAGATCCTTCCAATTCGAATGTCGCGACCTCGATGACGCCGACGAGGACGTCGTTGGCGACGATAACACCGAGTCAAACAACCAGAATAAATCCGGTTCAACGATGCTTCTCCAAACTGCATCCTCCTTTTTCAACGGCCCAGTCACATAATCCTTCCGTCACGATCTCCGAGCGATCGAGGGACACAGGGATCATGCGAACGACGTCGTGGAGAGAATTTTTTACGCCCGTCCGACTTCTTAACACCGGCTCGAACAGGAATATGTCGATGGGCGCAGGCGCTTGTCTATTTTTTGACATCTCTTTCAATTAAATATATATTATTCTTAGGTATTTTCTTCTTTGTTTGCTTTTTAAATTTCTGACTGATGGACATTAAAGGCGTTCAATAGCGTTAATTATATTCAGCTCTTTATGTTAGTATATTAAAGGAATGTAGACACAGTATCGACAATTATCATTCAAATTATTGTTAGATATTAAAATTTTTCATATTTTTCAGTTATGCGGATACGATTTGGCACGTTGGTTGAAAAGTATTGAATTTTTTTGCGCCCCTTCGTTATTGCTGCAGGTTAGTATCTAATACACATGCTGCTCTTATCTTTCCAACAAAAATGTTTCTTTGGATTTTAATTTTTATTTCATGTTTGCTGTTTTAGATACATGGATAACAGTACACGTTTATGGGGAGAAGGCTGATAAACAATCTTTTTCTTGAAAATAATTTAAGATTACTTTATTTCTTATTACTTCAATTATTTAACATTCTTGAAATGTTAAATCTTTTAAATTCACGGTAATAACAACGAAGTTGTGCTATAGAATGATATGTGTGGGTCAATTTGACAGCCTGTCGTTGTCATTTTCTGTAAGCTCACCCTCGCTTTTTACCCTTATATCGTTAGAAGTATGATTAGACTAAAAAAATGTCACTCGCGATGAAAATCGAACGAAACAACAGCCTTGTTAGAACATTTTTCACCGACTACCACAGGTAAGTCGCGCACCTTATGACAGGAGTAGGTTATCGGAGCGCGCATGGGCACATCGTTCACCTTCCCATTGGTCCGCCCTCTGTTTTAAATCCATTTCGATCCGCGGTCAAGAGAACTGCGAAGAAGTTAATTCTTTCTGTGGAAATGGAATGTCAAAAAGAAACAAAGGACAGTAACTGGAAAAGGGATTGCTAAAGAGCAAGAGAAGTTATTTCCTGAAAATGAAGAATTATATGAATTTCATGCCTTTCTTGCTTCTCTTCCTGGTCTGTATTATATTACATACAATTTTACTGAAACAAAGTAATTTCATATTAAACAATGTTAAATGGTTTCACAGGTGCATTTTCCAAAATGGCGGTGGAAGACTAATTATTTTAAGATCAGGGAAGTTTGCACAGTGCTCATTAGGCAAACGTTTATCAAATGCAGGTCCAGGGCCGGCCCTGAGCCTAGGCAGACTAGGCGGCCCCCTAGAGGTCCCCAGGGTCCAGGGCCCCCATAAGACAATTTTGCATCTAAGAATGCAAGAAGAGTAATTTTTACTTGAATCTAAATTACTTATACAAGCTTTAATGTTAATTTTATAAATTTCATTTGAGCTACTTTTGCGGTCCTTTTTCGGCCCCCCGAAATCTCGGGGCCGGCCCTGTGCAGGTCTGTCGTTGAAGCTGTAAAAGTAGGTGAATCAGGGGCGCAGGCGCGACCGTATCTATTTCCGATTTCGCGCGGATGAATGCAGAGATTTAAGGAAGCATGTTCAAATATTAGCAGCAGCTTTATTTCCAAGCAATTGTTGGCGTTGCAGTAGAAATTCTACATTCAACGTACACATCCATAGGACCTGAAGAAACGGACAATAAGCTGCAGCATCGATGGTAGAACCTTAATCTACCCTCCTCATAGTTCAGACACTTTCGAAACCTCCCAGCGGATGGAGAGGAGGATGGGCTCACTTTCTTGCGGCTTCTGTTACCCTCGAAGAAGATCCATCTACCTACGAAGCGGCGAACAACGTCTAGCGGGGGCGTTGAATTGACAATCAGTCGGCAGACGACGTAGACGGGTCCGATTACAGCTCCACGAGCCGTGCTACGCGGGTAACTCGAGCTAACTGGCCTGATACGAGAGCTCGAGACTAACCGTCAACTACGGACAATCTAGCCATCAGGCTTAAACGGAATATATTTACGGTTAGATGTACGCGCATACGTGCCGGCGCGCTATTTTCTCCCTCTGTGGCCGTACGTGCGCACACGTGTGTACCAGACCTCCTGGTGAAGCGATACGATGACGTCAGCATCCGTTCCCTTGGCACGTCGCTGCGAAACCGCTTCATTACATGATAGAAAAGGGTTCTGATAGCTGACTAGGTATCACTGAAGAAGCTTTCAACTTCACCAGCCAATCTTATTGCGAAGAAGATGCTTCTTATCTTTTAAGGATCGAAGGATTATTTATTTTTATTATCATTACCCTATAAATTGTAAATAATTATTTAAATATTAAATTATTTATTTATTTAATAATTACCCCTATAATTTTCAAATAATTATTTAAATGAAGACAACCTATTGATTATCCTTATACCTTAATTAATTTAATTTTTACAAATATATATTTTATAAAATTTTGAGACAAAATTAAATAATTATTTAAAAATTATAGGGGTAATTATTTAAAAATAATAATAATTTAAATAATCATTTATTATTATTTTAAAATAATCAAAATTATTTATGGAATCAACGAGTAAATAACATTATCTTTGAAAAGTAAGAGGCAATCGAAAGGTATATGTAAATCAACTATGGATAAACCGGAGACCTGCGTTTATTGTGCGTTTATCGAGGTCTAGGATAACGCATGAAAAAAAAACTGATATCAAGTATGATAGTAATTAAAATAAAGAAAAAAGAGCAGGCAGCCTAGTTGCTACGAAACACCTTGCTTTCAGTTTCTCACTGCTCTATTTCTTCAAATTTCAGCTCGCTGTATGCTGCGAAGAGTTCACCATTACGACACAATAGAAGCCCTGCTGTGCTCGGAAAACAACGCAAGGACATGTAAACAATTGCATAAGGAGATTAATGAACTGATCTATACTTCCAAGGATCAATTGGATACACGTTAATTTAATAGAAGAGTCACCTCAAATTTCGCCCATTTTTTCCCATTAGAATTTCAAAATCAAACTATGTGCCAATCAATACTATTTAATCTCAGAAAAAATTTAAGTTGAGCAAAGGGGTAGTTTCGGTCAAAGTGACTAAATTCTCACTATTCTCAATATTGTCAAAGCACTATGTACCGAGGTGATTTAATATTCGCTGAAGTAGATTTTTTATTTTAAATTCAACTCCCTGAGTTGCATTGAACTTGTCGCAGTGAAGTTGGCTACAAATTCACTAACACATTCACGCTGCGTCGGTGAACCGATAGGCGAGATCGACTCACCGACGCGGCGTGAATGTGTAGTGAATTTGTAGCCAACTTCACTGCGACAAGTTCAATGCAAAAAGGTCAATACTTCTTTGATAATAATGGGGATTTTAATATCCTCCATCCCTGTTTAATATTTAAAACTACCCTCAAAACAGTTATTATTGAATTTCTCAAAAACAAATGCACATAGGAAAGAATGTTTCAGACAAAAGTTGTTAGTCTTAAAATTCTGCAGAAAAAGGTCTTTTTTATTTTTTCAATAGGCGAAGAAATTGGCGAAGAAACACGTGTTTTTAGGGTGACTCTTGTTTTTTAAAATGGAGCTATCAATGATGCAACTCGTTGTATAATCAAAATCTTACTTTGCGATGATGTAACGCGTCCTATCTTTCATAATCATCAGCCCTGATGATCGTGTGTCGTCGTGCTTGATCTTGCAGCCTTGGCAAGATCATTGCCACCATGACACGATCGTCGGTGTACCACTGCGAGAAGCGAGCGACGATTACGCGTGCCTCTGTTACAGAATACCCAGCGTTTAATTGTAATATATAGCGGTCTACTTATCCGAATGTATCATGAACGAGGGTTTATTTGATTTGTAAAACGGTCGGTCAAGGATTGTCGCGTTAGCACGCGAGTAAACCGGGGTATTCATCATCTTTCCACATAATCTTATTGTATTTATCTATGTAACAAAATTACCGGGTCATTATTGTCGCTTTATAGAGGAGGAGGTGAATTAATATTCGCTGAAGTAGATTTTTTATTTTAAATTCAACTTTGTTTTAAGAATCGCTCCACATAATCTTATTGTATTTATTTATGTAACATAATTACCGGGTCATTATTGTAGCTTTATAGAGGAGGAGGTGAATTAATATTCGCTGAAGTAGATTTTTTATTTTAAATTCAACTTTGTTTTAAGAATCGCTCCACATAATCTTATTGTATTTATTTATGTAACAAAATTACCGGGTCATTATTGTCGCTTTATAGAGGAGGAGGTGAATTAATATTCGCTGAAGTAGATTTTTTATTTTAAATTCAACTTTGTTTTAAGAATCGCTCCACATAATCTTATTGTATTTATTTATGTAACAAAATTACCGGGTCATTATTGTAGCTTTATAGAGGAGGAGGTGAATTAATATTCGATGAAGTAGATTTTTTATTTAAAATTCAACTTTCCTTTAAGAATCACCTCCTTTATGATTGCTCTTCGTCACACGTCTTAACTGTTTCGTCGTTTTATATCACAGTTTTGTAATTCGTAGAGAAAGTTACAGATCGTTAGGAATTCACGTGATTTCGAAAAGCGACAGGTTGTACGAGGAAAATCATTGTATCCGAGAGAAAGCTGCGGTTTAGATGTCCCTTGTCCATCGCACGCGACAGCCTTACGGATGCAGTATGGATTTCTAATTGATACTTCATAACGGAGCATTATTTTCTTCGTTTATTTTTTACATTCGCGTTTCAGACGAGCGGTCCGTTGGAAGCAGATCCCAGTCGGCGGATGTCCACTTCTGTCCAAATTAGTGAAACTTGAACGAAACTGAAAGGAAATGAAAGCAAATTGGCTTGTCTCTGAAATCGTGGGCCGCCTTGGGAGCATATGGAGCAAGGATAATTCCATTAAAAATAGAAGACATTAACAATAATTTAACATTGATACCAGGTGAAAATTAGTTTAATAAATTAAATAGAAATTAGGTAGAAAAATTTATTTGAAATGAAAGCAAATGTCTCTGAAATCTTGAGCCGCCATGGGAGCATATGGAGCAAGGATAATTCCCTTAAAAATAGAAGACATTAATAATAATTTAACATGGATACCAGGTGAAAATTAGTTTAATAAATTAAATAGAAATTAGGTAGAAAAATTTATTTGAAATGAAAGCAAATGTCTCTGAATTCTTGGGCTGTCTTGGGAGCATATGGAGCAAGGATAATTCCATTAAAAATAGAAGACATTAATAATAATTTAACATAGATACCAGGTGAAAATTAGTTTAAAAAATTAAATGGAAATTAGATACAAAAATTGATTTGAAATGAAAGCAAATTTGCTTGTCTCTGAAATCATGGGCTGCCATGGGAGCATATGGAGCAAGGATAATGCCATTAAAAATAGAAGACATTAACAATAATTTAACATGGATACCAGGTGAAAATTAGTTTAAGAAAAATTGATTTGAAGTAAAAGCAAATTGGCTTGTCTCTGAAATCATGGGCTGCCATGGGAGCATATGGAGCAAGGATAATGCCATTAAAAATAAAAGACATTAACAATAATTTAACATGGATACCAGGTGAAAATTAGTTTAAGAAAAATTGATTTGAAATAAAAGCAAATTGGCTTGTCTCTGAAATCATGGGCTGTCATGGGAGCATATAGAGCAAGGTTAATTCCATTAAAAATAGAAAACATTAACAATAATTTAACATGGATACCAGGTAAAAATTAGTTTAAGAAAAATTGATTTGAAGTAAAAGCAAATTGGCTTGTCTCTGAAATCTTGGGCTGCCATGGGAGTACATAGAGCAAGGATAATTCCATTAAAAATAGAAGACATTAATAATAATTTAACATGGATACCAGGTAAAAATTAGTTTAATAAATGAAATAGATATTAGGTAGAAAAATTGATTTCTGAAATCATTATTCACCTCTTATCAGGGGCTAACAGTAATTTATTTTCTTAATAGATTTAGAGAAGCTATCAAGTGAACAGGGTACAAGAGTCGTTTCAAACAAACTATCATAACAATAGAAACAAGTAAACGTGGGCAAGGAGGCAATGAACTCGAATGAAAACAGTTTATCGCGATATTTAATAAAGGTTGTGTTTCAGATGGTAATACCGTTGGTCGTGCTTCAGCTGAATAAACAGTCCTTTATTCAGAACAATATCACGGCCTTTTGTTTTGCTATAATCATACATTCATGTTTCTGTTTTCCTTGTTTCAAAGTTCAGAGATTGTAACAAGAAATTATTTGCAGGTCATTCGAGAGACGTTCTCGGATT